GAAAAATGTCGCCTGTGGAGGTGGGGGGGAAAGAGAGTATATTCGAATCGGATGGCCTGTGCTAAGAGTGTTTGAAACATGTCAGGAGGAGCCCATCGCGGTTTTTGTCATAATCCTGAGGGTCCCACAAGGAGAAGGTTGCGAAGGTAACGCGAACGTCACCGAGTGTCGGCACCAGTCAAAAGTTGTCTCAATACTTCTTTCCGAAGAAGTCACATACTCTTTCACATGCCGTAGTTTATCGTTTACTTTAATATCTATCGAGTCATTATCCATCACGGTGCTGGCACAAGCCGAGCTATGAGCATTATTTACACAAAGTGCGTGCAAGCTTATACTGTAGTCAGATACAATCTTACTTTTGTCCGATCTTTCATTAGGTGAAACAACTGCAGCAAGCCCGTTCCCTTGCCAGCCAGTTAACCAGCACCGGGGCCACTTTGCATGCCTACCTAGCAAAAGAAGTGGACTTGCGTGAGGCAAGAAATCAAGCAGCCAATCGTCAACTGGACAGCGAATGGGTGGAGGAGTGTCTGGCAGCCGCGCGGGATAGTCTGCGTGAGGAAATCCGGCAGGCAGAACAGGCTCTCATTAATGTTGCGGCTGACGAGGCCGCACTTGACAGTAAAATTGAGAAACGAAGAAATGAATTGGAAAGAAATCAGAAACGGCTCTCCACCCTTCAGGTAACTTAAGAGTTGTTTTGTTATCCTTAAATGTACGTACTGTAAGCTAGATGTTGCTGAATACTTCTTCATAAAAAAAAACAATACAGTAGTCGCCGGTTATTAAGCTCACGGTTAATAGGCCCAGCCGCTTATTAAGCCCAATTTGGTTTGGGCTCGAGGGGGGCTTAATAACCGGCGACTACTGTATTAAGTCCACGGTTAATAGGTCCAGCCGTTTATTAAGCCCAATTTGGTCTGGGCCCGAGATGGGCTTAATAACCGGCGACTACTGTACCTTTAGCAGACATTTGCAGAGTAAGCGAATAGTTTCGAAAATTTTTGTCTTGAGGCCTCCTATGACTTCTCAGAACAACTAATGGCATTGCTTAAGCACTCTTTTACAGTTATGTTTCGTTCGTGATTCCGTAGCACCTAGATTTTGGTAGCAGTTGAGGACGATCCGTGGTAATGGCCGCAACAATTGGCGGGCACAGTACCTACCCACGGCTAGCAGTAATTACAACAAGATTCTCCACTCTTATAAGAGTACCTATTAGCGCAAACTTGAGCAAATTAGCGTAACACCGCCAAGTTATACTGACTCGTTGAGATACACACCTAGTGTTGCACACTGATCCAAACGTCTACTCATATCAATTTATATCTCAACTCGGACGGTCCCCTGTTATGCGAAAGGGACATGATGTTGAGGGTGTTCTAGCTCAGATTCGGTGCTTAGTTTTCTCACTACGAATTGCCTTTTGCGTCTTAAATCATAACGACGCTCTTCATGTCGTGGGTTTAAATTTCGACCGAAGACGGGACAACTTACTTCTAGCCAAGACCGAGGGTCAAATTATAGTGGCTCCTTATAGCACTCTTACTTGTGTGGAATCTTGGCCCCCCTAAACTGAGGGCTACAGTAAATTAGCTGGTCTGATACATAAGAATGCAGTTGGAATAGGTTCCATTTATTCCGACGACTAGCTCCTGCATACTCCTCTTTTCCGTCTCTTTAGTCCGTCCGACCAGCATACATAGAAGAGTACGAACAGTTGGAAGAAGAGCTCACGACGCTCTATTCAATTTATTTGACTCGGTTCAGAAACCTGGTGTACCTAGAGAACCTGAAGGAAGAAATGATGCTGGCCGACGAGAACCGCATGCCAGAGGAGGATTTGGCTTCAAAATCTGTAGTTGAGGATCTGCGAAATATTGCTGAGGTAAGTATCATCATGTAATTACATCCTTGCAAAAAGCATCCTATGATAAAGCCCAACACGGTTGTTTCAAGCATTAGGGCACATGGAACTGGAAGAGACAGAGTGCCCTTCAAAGCTCCAATAATATTTTTAAAAAGACTTCAGAAATCCAGTAAGAGCTGTATCCGTTGGTCATTTCATTCGTTTTCTAACAGCACAAAAGGCATATTGTGTTTACTTTTCGGTCTCGCTGCAAAGTATGATACATGTAGTACTAGAGGACAGTGTACTTGCTTCTGCTGCTCTTTGCAACTTCTTGTACACGACCTGCTAGAAACTTTGTAGCGAAGTATATCTGGGATGCATCTAGTGGCTCTGGGGAGAGTGTTTTTAAATGTTGCACGATTCATTTATTGGGAGATTGAATACCGGCGCCCCTTAACACCTTTGACGAAAGCTCAATTGTTTTGGAAGTATGGGAGTCTTATTATCTGTTTTATGGGTTTTGCATCAGTTGGAAGCTGAAATCCCGCCCAGAAGTCTAATAGGGCCAGCGACACGCTCTAAGAGGAAGATTTTGAGGCAGTTATCAATTCTGTTGATTGCAGGAATCAGCGTTGTTTCCTGACCAATCGATCGGACCAAACAATGCATCTTTTTCGGTTATTATGTGAGTGTTTTGTCCAGGACGTTTCTTTAGTAGAACTTTCTTGGGAGGCCGCTTTTGTCTGTGATAAAGAATAATAATAAAAACTCCTTCCACATTTTCAGTAGGTCAAATGTCCGCCTATCCAAACACTTCCTTGAATATGTTAGCCAATATGAATTGCTCTAATAGTTTCTTAGTCTATAGGCTTCCATTTCAGTCTTTTTTCCTTTCTACAACCTCAACTACA